GTTTTCTCTCTCACTCTCTCTCTCTCTCTCTCTCTTCCTTCTGTTTTTCGCCCCTCTTTTCACAACAATTCATCCCCTCTCACTTCTGACTTATACGCCTTCAGCTGTGAATATAGAAGAAATGGTAAAGAAAGCGTAATTGATAATTCGGGAGGAATGTTGGGTAGATAGTAAAATTTGCGTTCATGCTCTCCCTACCCCTCCTCCCCTTCCAAGCTTCCCAACACTTACCTCGTGATTAGCAACCTTGCTCAGCAATTTTATATGGGATAGTCTGTTAAAGTTTTTAAAACCAATAGTTCCAGACTGGGTTGTATATCAGAAAAATACATCCTTCACAAGAAGTTCGCATGGTTTAGGCAAGTCTGTGACTTTGGCTATTCATGCTTACCAACTGCAGCATTTTCAGGATTCCGAAAAGGAGATTGATTTTTAGTCCGCCTCTGACATTCCATTATTAAGACTTTTAAATCAACAAAGTCCAATTGCCTGCTGGAAGAACTAAACCATTATCATGAGGAAGAACTCTTCTAGAGAAATAGAGCTTATGTAGTATCAAAGTTTTCCACTTTCTGGGGCCCTTGACTTCTAGAAAAATGGCACGTTCTCCAAACTGCAGTTTGGTGGTATACATGAAAGTTCTCGCTAAATGTAATTTTTAATTCGGAGAGGTGGGTGGACAAGTCAGCATTGAATCAATCGAATTGAGAGATCAGTAGACTATGCTCACATCCTGAAAACAAGCACATACTTTGCACTTCAAATGCATTCAGTTCAAGACCAATTACACCTACTAATTCTTGGTGTTCTTGGATTAATGTAGTCCAGAGAACAGGAAGATTTCAAGATTATATACTGCTATACTATATACCACTCTTTTATCATATGCTATCAGCATAATGAGCTTACGCAACCAGCAACAATTCCGAGTAGGAGATCATGAAAATCAGCTGTGCCAAGCGATTGAGAAACATATCCATGTTAAGATGAAGTCAAAGACTTACATAATGGACAAAGGCGCATGATTTTTGTTGATATGCTGAGTTTAAGTAATGTTCAGTCAAAACTAGAAGGCACGTTCTAGTGCAGTTAGTTAGAGGTTCTCCATAGAAGAGGCGCGCTGTATTATATAAATCACTGCATCCTATTGGAAGTTGAAAAAAAGGGAGACAAGAGACGTAAATTCACAACACCGCCTTCGACATGTACGGAAATGAACCACCATTACGTACACTTTAAAGCTGAAAGGATCATGGAGAAATAGCCTTGTTTACTTCAATTCATTATCGATAATCCATTATCCACCTATATAAAGAGATGCGCACTTAAGAAGAACCATTGTATCAACTTCAGCAGCAAATGGCAGACCATATAGTAGATGGATGTGGTGACCATGTCGCAGTTCCTGAAAACGAGCCCTCAAACAGTGAAGCAATTTTGGACGATGGCGAAAATGTCATGCAAGGCGTGGAGGAGTACTTCTACGAGTTGTTGGTCGACATGGACATGGTTAGCAAGATCCGCCGTACCAATCCTACACAGATCCAAGCTGCTCAGGTAAATTCCCTACGACTCATAGTTCCCTGACCATCTATTTGTACAGATGGTGCTCTCGCAAGAAATACTTCGTGTGTGGGATTTAATTTACAACCATCGTTTTCTCCACTCACAATTTGACGAAAGTAGAGCTTAAAGCGAAGAACTACTCTTGTAGAGTTGCATTACTATTTTGTACTCCACATGATCTTTCTCGATGGCTCAGTTTTTCAGATTTGCGGGCGAAAAGACCTTGTTACAAATACACAGTTGATAATAAAGTGTTGTTTTAATTAGTTCTGTCATTAATCACTTTTACATACAAACAGCGATGGAGTAAGGTCGAAACACGTTTTGATAGCCTTCAGTCTCATTACAGACATGTGTGCAATTTTTTAGTTTTCTATAAGTTCTTCTCTGTTCAGATGTCGTACTAAGTTGTAGGATGGGATTTGCGTGTTTGTCGGATCTCAAAACACGAGTTTGTAAACAAGGCTTCTTAATTCTGAGAAATTTGATTAAAAATCAATAAAATTAACGTTCTTTTGAGTTCCACATCGTTTGTTAGTCAATTTGCATATTTGACCATTTTCCAAAGGTTTTATACTGCATAACGTAAAAGTAAATTTGAGCAGTTTCTCAAACATTACTCAAGAATTGGAATGATGCGGAGAAATTTCTTGTGTTAGTTTCTTTAACTTTTAGCCAGACGTACACAGCCAGTTTGGAAAATTTTGTGGCGGCGAGGCAGAGAATTGAATATGAAGATGCCAGAGTTTTGGCAGTTATTGGGTAGAGAACAGTTTTGTGGACCCAAACTCATTTTAAGGTCGTTTGCTGATAGCAAAAGAACAAAAACTTCACATTTGACATTCCAAAAGTTAAATGAGATGGTCTGCAAAAATCTCAATGCATTAGTCCAGCTTTTCGCCAATCATCACTATCTGTAGCGTCACGACAGCTTCCTGCACAAGATGTGATTTAGAATCAAGAAACGTGTTTCACGTAAAACAAAGTCCAGCATCCTTTCAACTCCAAAACTCCCAAATAATAAGTTGGCACATCTGCGAAGTTGCTTTTATTGACGAGTCAGATTCTTATAGCTCCTAGAACAATTAATACCCTTGTTCTGAGCTCAGATAGATGTTATAACTTAGTCGGCAAACACGCGCAAAACGTTCGGTTAGTCAATTAACTGCGAAGAGCACGTGTATTTTTCTTCTTGTATCCTTCCAACTACTTGATACTACAATTTAATTACATTTCTATAATTTAAAGATCTAGAGCATCTTCTTCTTTCGCAAGGTCTATTGTTAATAGGTTGAAATACTATCGCTTGAAACCTGTTGATCCTCATGAAAATAACAGACATGACCTTGGTGTGCTCTTGTGAAAACAAATGTCATTCCAAGTTGGCGGCAATCAAGCCCTTTTCAATATCGTATATATAAGACATTTTCCACTCTTAACGCTGATTGCTCAACATTGTTCTCTTTTATAAGTCTGATGCACAGTTATTTATTTATCTACTAGCTGGCATCGTTCGTCTTTTTATGTTTTCTGCGCTGTTTTTTGCATCTGACTATTCTATCTCATCTAATTCTGCGTGAACTGCTCACATTCGTGTAGGCATAATTTAATGCATTTATTAAATAGTACTTGAAATTGAGGGTATGTACTATGTGATTGATAGAAAGTAACAAAAAAGTGCAGCTATCTTGATAAAATCGAACAGCATTCGGCGTGTGTTGAATATGGTTCAATTTTGAAACCTTAAAGGCGTTGGGAATGGGACCTGGCACTTGCTAGAAATATATGTACCCGTTCTGCGTTTAGAAGCTTTCCATTTGTTGAACTAATTGCCAAGAAAAGACTGCGTAGTTATTGTGCCCACACCCCACCACGCCTCTCCCATTGAATCAAATAAGCAACCACTCCGCATTGACGTACTTCCATTCAGTAACCACA